ATTACTCACTTTTTTTAAATTCTGAATAGTTTATTTATTCGTTGTATGTCTTGTTTTTCTGTCATTTTACCCCTACCCATTGCCAGCATCTTGAACTTCAGTACTTTTATGTGAAGTCCTATACTGTTTTGTCAGTGCAGTCCTCTAATTCATTACAAAATTTTCTTGTAAATCAGTATAAATTTTAAACTCTTTAACCTTCTTGTTATTAGTTATATTAATGATAATATGTATGCAGTGTCCATCTCATCAAACTTCATTATATTTATCATAGGGAGACGACGCCAAACCGAGTCAGTATCACCAAATTCTTGAACGTGATCACTTGTCAAATTTAATTAAAATCCCACAATCTGTACGGGATACTCAAGCTGTTCACAATTCAGATAGTATACAAAATAATCAACCTGACTGTGATAACAATGAATCATTCAGTAATTCAAGCAGTGAAATTGACAATCATCCTGTCAAATCAGATGAAAGTGAAGAGGATTTAAAATCATTAGAAGTTAGTGATCGGCGTTATCATCTCTCACTTTGATTATTTACGCTTGATCCATTTCTCACCACTTATCTACGATTCCTAACCTTCGATATCATCATGTCGTTAAGATTATTATCAAATTATTTAATTATTTCTTGAAGCAATCTCATTTACCTTAAGTACTGAATTCGAATATTTCCTCTTTTATTATTCCTCAAACCTTATCCAACCAGCCTCTTCTTTGTTCATGTGATGTTTACTGGTTCCAGAAACTTTACTTCAGAGAAACAAAGACGCTTATATAAAAATTTAACACGAACCCACCAAAACTACAGAACTGACTGAGTCTAATAGAGTTGAAGTGATAGACAACCCAGCATTGGACATCATCGGACGCACGAAACCCACCAAAACAACATGAAGCGAGCGCTTTACAATCACTGTTTTGGATCAAGCTCACTGCAATGATATTGGATATTGAGGGGGCTCTTCAAAGCCAGTGGTCCGAACTAGTGTGTTGAGGGGTAATACCTTATGTCAACCATTGTCTTGTAAGTTTCTGCGACTGTATTGTGAGAATTTAATTTGTGGACGACCTTTGAGTGATTCTAAAGTGATCCACCTATCAATTAGGACTAAATGTCGGCTATAAAGCAATATGAGTATTTAGAATTATGATTTACAGCTGGTGGTTACCCAATCAAGCAACAAAGCGAAAATAAGTGGGAAACGCGCGAAAATGTCTGCTTTTTTGCTTGTCCGGCGGAAACAATGCGGATTTCCCTCTTTTTTTCGCTCTATCTCTCACATGTCGCTGAATTGTTTACTTTTCGCCTATATATACGCCGAATTCTCTACTTTTGCTACAACTTTGAGAACACCATTGGCATAACCCCAAAGGTCTACCATGTTCGCTTTATTCCCATTAAACACTGCACTGAAACTGCAATCAACGTGGAAAATGATATATGTTTAAATAAATTTACATGTACTTATTAAACTTAGCACTAAACTGACCCAAGTCATTCATTTCTTTTATTGCAGAGAATGTGTCATTAGAAAATTCGTTGAATTTTGCCGGTTTACTATTCTCTCTGTAGATCTATATCATGAACACGTCACTAAACATTGGGGCAACGATCCGTCCTAATATAGGCCATAAATGTTCATTAAAACTCCTAGACATAGAAAGTCCATCTACATTAATATACAAATTTAAAGTATCAAAATCCAAAGTACACAATCAAAGTTCAACATATCTTAGCAGATTGGCTTTTAATCCGAGGTGGTAGTAAACCCCACTGCTGATGAACTGTGACTAGACACTTGTGCATGTTCTCAGGACACATCTGATGCTCCTTGGTAAGTCCGGGACCAGGTCTCGGAAACAATCCAGATTTCGACCAGCATCACTGATGCTGAGAAAGCTTTTTGTAAATGATTTTATCAATACATTGTTGATCTGCTCTTTGCGATTGACGGACTTTTGAGAGCATAAATTAACGACATTACAAGAAAACGCATTGAAAACGAGAACAGGAATGTCGACAGGTAAACCATCGATGGGGCATCCATTAGTACGAACGATGACGTGTTGAAGCTCCGCACCATCATTACGTCGTCAGTATTAGACTCCCTAAGTAAACTCGGGCCTCCCAGTTCAGGGTCCCTGAACACCACAGTGGTTCCCAAAAACCCTGTAGGTTATTCGGCTCACGTTAGCAGAGCCCAAAAGAACCAGGTGTCACCGCCTACGCTGAGTATCCCAAGTGTTGTCGTACGGAAAACAACTGGTGATTTGGCCGCACAGTCAACCCCCAAGAATGTTCGTCCGGTCATCAAAGAGCCTAAGACTCAAAAATGTGCCTTGACCTCCAAACAACAAGGTATTAAACCTAAATCAATAGGGAAACCTGGTAAATCAACAACAGTTCGTGACGATTTTCTTATAATCACGAATCTCGTTGACAATCCTGACCTTCCCCTCAGTCTGCAGGACAAAAATGATAGGATACTCTGGGGTGAATTGAACGAGAAGCTCGAACTTCCCAGAATAGACTTTTTGACAGTCACTTGGCTCACTCGAGGAAGGGGTTTTAAACATCTAATTCACCCGAGGCTTCTTCGAGTAACACAGAAGAATGCTACCGACGTAGAGGACGTCTTGCTAGCCAGTCACTTGCTGAAATCCGCTGGGGACGTACGAATATTGCCCGACATACCGTACTCTGTGCGCACTTTCATACGGAACACCCCTAGAGAATCTCGCGAGAAGTTGTCCCGCGGAAGAAACATAATTGTGCAAGGTATACCGGAAAATACGGACCCTACTCAATGAAACTCTGACATCAGGAAATGGAAATTCATTAAACAGTCCTTGAGGCTCAAACACATACTGTTTCAGTATGTGTCGAGACAAGCCAAGAAGGATGGTGACCCTAGACCCCGTCTGATGAAGATAATCTTCCCATCCTCCCACAGGGCGGCCGAAACTCTGGAAGCATTTCGTGAAAACAGACGTCATTTACCACCTGGAACCCACATGCACCCGGATAGGCCACATGAAGCTAGGATCAAACACAATGGCAAGATGGAGCTGACCATTCCAATTTTGGACTGTCTAGATGATAAAAAAACGTGTGAAGGACAAAGCCTACCACCTCGGGAAATCTCATATAGGTGGGCTACCTGTCCATTCACGTAAGGCTCATACAGACAAACAGGACGAAGCTCACGCGTTCCAAATTGAAAGCATAAACTGTTTATATATGAACGCCGTGAGTCCACCAAACAAACTGGATGAGTTACGTGAACTTAGCAACGCTAACAAGGCCCATCTGATAGGAATATCTGAAACCTGGATATCTTCTCAGTTCCTGGACCAAGAGTTACCATTACCTGGGATGTCGTTGTTCCGCAATGACAGAAAATCAGGAATTTGGGGCGGAGTAGCCCTATACATACGTTCTTGTCTAGAGGTGCATCAAGTTCATAACCTCGAGTTTAACAATCTTGAGGAATCCAGATGGTGCTCTTTAAGATTGTCTAGTACTTCGTGGTGTCTAGTCGGAGTCATTTACAGGAAGCGAACTGCCGACATTGAGTACGTTAGTCATATGCTGGAAGGGCTACATCGCTCTACTCGTCTCGGTTTCACACACATCCTGATTCTAAGGGACTTTAGTCTCCCTAGAGTCAACTTCGCGGATCACACGTATACTGGAGGTGATAAATCAATTGAAACTCGGTTCTTCAACCTCATCGATGACTTGGGATTATACGAAAATGTGAGGTCGGCAACTCGTTGGAGAAACAGTCAGACATCATCGCGCTTAGACTGTATATTCACAAACGAAGAATTTCTAGTTGACAACCTCTCAATCCTGGCTCCCCTGGGAAAAAGCGATTATGCCGTCATAGCCTTCAGTTTTGTCAGCAAAACTAAACTAAGCTATCCCACCAATAACTTGCGTTGGAATTTTAAACGGTTGAATGTGCCAGCTCTACACGACTATCTACAACAGGTGGATTTGGATGTTCTCACTCAACTCGATGTGAACGGTCGTTGTGACTTCTTATTGAACACGCTCTTATGTTCTACTAAGCATTCAGTTCCTCAAACGGTTCCCAAAAGCTGCAAGCCACCTACAATAATCAAGAACCGCACCCTTCGCCTGCTAAGCCGCAAAAGGCACTGTTGGGCAGAATACAAACGAACTGACAACAACGGAGCGTACAGGCAATATAAACATATAAGGAACATATGCTCAAACGACTAGGTATCAGACCACCTCTAATCGATTAGCTTACTTCATACCTGAAAAATCGACACTATGGTTAGGGTTAATTTCACTTTATCTCAGACTATGGAATGTCCTAGTGGGGTTCCCCAGGGCTCAGTACTAGGACCTCTTCTCTTCTTGATCTACATAAATGATCTTCCTCAACAGGTAACGTCAGAATTGTTACTCTTTGCCGATGATGTTAAACTTTGGAGAGAGATACGCAATCAAGACGATATACAGGCATTTCAGGAGGATCTCACTAGACTCCAAAGTTAAACAGATAATAATGGACTTGCTTTTAACACTTCAAAGTGTAAAGTAGTCCATTTGCGACATGTCGCAGACTACAGTTATAACTTGGGAAACTCCTCTCTGGTAGTGTCTCAAGTAGAAAAAGATTTAGGAGTCCTAGTGCCCCATGACTTAAAGTCTTACGCTAACTGTGACGAAAATGCCTTCCGAGCAAACCTTGCACTGGTAACGTTGAAGCGCATTTTTGGACAGTTCGACGGAAGAACTTTCCATATAATCTTTAATAGTTTCATCCGTCCCCACTTAGAGTACGGAAACATAGTACTTACCCCCTCGCTCCAACATACCTAGGCTCTTCCCTGAAGGATTTGGTGGTCCTCTGCTACTAGACACGGAAGCCTGTTAAGCGAAAGCTTCTTCTATTCCGTCCACAACCATTAGACGTTTAAGAAAACATAAGTACGGGATGCGGCATATTCAAACACGGTGCGTTACGTTTAATTGTTGACAAATGTCCCCCAAATACAGGACGTAAGGAAGAAAAGTCGACATTTACCTTAAATAACCGACGTGAAGGCGAAAAAGCGACATTTCCCTTTTATTTAAGCTTTCGTCCTCTTTATTTTCCTTTTTTCGTCTTTATTTCCCCTTTATTGGTTGCTTGGGTCAAGATCTAGATTCAGCTTTCATCATGAACTGACAGTTAAAACGCCAAGACGCTGTTTAGTGAGATGAATGAATTAATTTCTCACCGAAATCCAACACCTGTTATCTTATATCTGATTGGTTCGTCCATAAATTATAGCTTCATCGAGTACAGAAATATAGTATTTCCTCCCTCACTCCAAAAGAATGAGGACATTGGAGCGTATTCAGCTGCAAGCCACGAAATAAGTTCGGGGACTGAAGTCCAAGACTTCATAAGTCTTATGAAGAGCGCCATCAATCACTGAACCGTTACCCATTAGAGTACAGGCGTCTTAGATGTGACCTTATGATTGATAGTATACTAAACATTTCTGGACATCCACTTAAACTTCGTCCCAACGCAAACTGTAGGGGTAACATCCAGAAACTGGAGACTCAACACAGCAAAACGGACTGTAGAAACACCTACTCCTTAAGAGTAATCAAATACTGGAATTCATTGCCAACTGTGCTAGTCCAATTGACTTCCCAGGAGTCCTTTAAAAGGAAACGATGTATTCTTAGAGATTAAGGACTGTATCGTTATGATTTTCTTTTTCTCTGTTCCCTCTTTTGTCGTCAATAAACCTAGGTTCTTACCTAGTGGCATTAGTGATCCACTGCTACTAGGTACGGAAGCTCGTTAGGCGAAAGCATCTATTCCGTCCACAACCACAGTTGAGCTGTCCTTATTTAGTAGAAACTAAAATAGGGGAATCATCACATCCGAAATCATTTATCTGTATTCTATACGTCAAATTCGGACCACCACTTAATCTGCGATAAGACGGAGTAATGAGGTCCAATCTATCTGGCTTAATTGTGCATGGAAAGTCGAATTTCTTTAAGTTTATGACTGCTTTGCCCTGTTTCTAAGATACCCGAATCATCTTTTAAGTAAGCTCGCAGCCTAAACCCGGTCCTCAGGTTCGGATTTCAGTAAAGTTGTGTATATCGTGATGAACTCCTTTGTGTCCGGCTCAGTAAATATCCATATTGACGCCCATAGGTTCTAAACTGTTTGACTGTAACCTCGGCAGCGAGCCGTGATTTAAGGTCGTGGCCCACTATTATCCCTAGACCATTGCGAAACTAGACTTATAGTACAGACGTATTCGATGCTGTCGTTATTTGTCTGTATATGACTAATATATGTGTTAACACTTAGTCGTATTGGTACTCACTGACCATAATTTTGATCAGCTAACTAGAGCATTTCGTTCGGCCTGGAGTCCACATGCACTTCCACTCTTCCTTAATTCTCTCTAGATTTCGATGCCATCAGCTCAAAGTAGCTTTAGAAACTTAATTATACTTGGGAGTTCATTCGCATGGAGTATAAAAAGTTAAATACCTAGTAGGAAGCCTTGAACCACTCCATTAAGTATTGGTTTCTATGAAGAACATTTGCGTCTTATTCTTGTAGTCGACGAACCACTAGGAAGACCTTAATCCGATTTATCAGAGCTGCAGTAATTCTTGAGTTTCCCAAGTTTTATTAGAAGTCTATTATGTGGTGCCTTATTAAATGATGTACTGAAGTTAACGTAAACATGACTTATTTATTTTCTATCATCAGATAACTCCGTCCATCTCTGTCTTACTATTAGTTTAGTCGTATGTGGTGTTCCTTTGCTGAGGCCATTTCATTGATTGTGTAACAAGTGTGTTGGTTTTCACCTAGGTAATTATCTTTTCGTTCATTCCTTATGATATTTTAACCACGACACTGGTGAGGCTGATGAGTCTGCACTTCAAGAGAAATTGTCTTTATTATGCCTTGTGAAATGGAGTGTTAGTTGTACCCTTCCATTCCACATGTAACTTTGGGTGAATGACACTGAATATCCTAGTGAACAGTGTAGCAATATATGTCGCAATGAATCCCATAATTTTAGGACGTATCTCATTCACTCCTGTTAATTTCTCCGTACTTAGAGAGTCTAGTATCCTTGGGACATCTTACTGATTAAAGTCTACAGCGAGTAATCGACTTAGTAATATTGATTCTGGCCCTAGTCTTTCGTCAAGTTCAGGCTCATAAATAAAGACCATCCCAAAGTAATCGCCCATGGCTTTCGCTTAGTCTTCTATCATTTTAGACACTCATAATCGAATTGGAGATCCATGGCTGTACTCTTGTTGTGTAGTTGTATGTGCGGACAGTCCCTTTAACCGCTTAATTGAAACCTAATAATATCAGGGTTTACTTTCTTACGACTCAAGGTTTAAGAAAACCTAATGATCTTTACAATCAGTTAGATTAAATTGGAAAACGATTGCGAAGTATATTTTATCTGAATTTTGGGAGAATCACATTGAGTGAAAATTACCACAGCAACCTGGTTAGTAATTATACAGGAGTTTCCTACTAGATGCTGATTACATTACTTTCTGGTGACCTATAGTCTGTTTCGGTTGTAATAATGAGGTTACAAAGAGCTAAACATGATATATATTAACTTTTTTCTCATGGATAATTTGAATATGGTTACAACTAAATTTGCTAGTTAGCTTTTTCCCATATTTCCCAATAAAAGGAATGTTGAATGTTTTGTTGATGAACTACGCAGAAGCCCTGGACTATCCCCAAACCGAGATGGTTTAAACTTGGTTAGTGTTTAAAAACTAGCCGTTCGTCCTGAAATATAGAAAAATGAATTTGTCGTCTTCACGTTCTTTTTGAATCTTGACGAAATCCGTATATATGGTTAAATCTTCCATGGTAAAGCTTTCATAATTATACCCTAAGTTCGTTTTTGCTGTCTGTAATTAACTAGAAAATTTCGAGGATCAATTGTCTCATTTGCATACATACGATTTTAAAGACTCACTTTTAGCGCTAAAAAGAGTGTATGCTACATTTGATAGTCAGTTAGTGAGGTGGTTTGAAGGTCTGTAAATGGAAATCAATGAACGGTACTTTGATTCTATATGGTTCTTACAATCCTTAAAACAACACTTTTCAAGGCGTTTTCGGTTTAATAGTGTTCGTACAAGCGTTTTCTGGGATTCTAAACTTCATTTATGATCACATGTAAATCATCACTGGTTTCAAGCTTGTTTCGTAACAGTGACTAATGTACTGTATTGTGCCATGGCATATATTTGATATATATATATATATATATATATATATATATATATCCTAGCCCACCTAGTAATGTGCATCTGTTAATAAAATGTTTTCAGACTAATTACATGGTACCCGAGTTTAAACAACGTTCTTACTTCGAAATTAAAGCTCAATTGGATGCTTATCGTCTAGCAAATCCAGTAACTCCAGAGTTAAAACCTCCAACCATAAATGTACTTCAGGAACCTGCCAACAGTTCTGTGGTAAAAGAATCATCTACAGTAATATATTTATTTTTAATTTATGTTCTGAATCATAACAGTATAAAAAAGATGTATCCAAGTAATCTTTGAGGCAAAAAATGACTGATTCACTTACATTCTAATTATATTGTACTAGAATACCACTTTTAGTTGTCTATGTATATTAATCCTATTTACATATTTATATGACTCAGTGAAGTGTTATTACGAATTAATATCAGCGTTTAAATGTTTAATTTATAACTGACAAGGCGTGCTTACTTTTCTGTTGAATGAACGGATTATAAGCAACTGTCAGTCAGTCAGTCAGCTACAACGTAGGACCAGGCACATATGTGCATCGGTCCAGGTTGCCATACCTCATTAGCACAGCAAGATGAACAGCGGATTCATAGGAGTGGTTAGGTCAAAGGTGGTAATATATAGGAGAAAGATTGCAATAAGGATATAGTATAGGAAGAAAGAATTAGTTCGTAGAAAGAAAGATATGAAGTGATTTTAATCTCTTAGTTTAAGGGAAGACAGGGAGTGCATACACCGACGCCATTGTGATCGATTCTGAGCCATGTCACCAAGAGTCTCCAACCATTGGTTACGATTGTCACGCGGACCCCAACCAAGTAGTCTGCATCTACCAACATGGCCCAGACTAAGCAACTGTAATACTAGATATCTAGTTGGTGGTTAGTGATAGAATCCATAGAAAATTTAAAACTTCTGACAAATGTGTGTTGCTGATGAAATATTGACGTAATAGATTACCATAAATTTTTACCATCACCATTCACTCATTCTGCCACAGTGTATTATGCTAGGTTTTATTTCCCAGTTACAATTAGTCACCTCTATCAAAATAAAGATCAAATAAATTATTCATCCGTACATTTCTATTTTCGAAAAAATTAACAACAGATTGGTAAACTCATTTTTTCCCTCACAAATTTTGACTACTTTTATATATTTGATATATTTTAATAGAATCCATAAGTACTTTAATATTGCATTCAACTACTTAAATTTAATGATTTTCTTGATTATACGTATTTTTGTGTAGAAATTAGCTAGAATTACTGCCATTTGGAATTTATGGTATGTACAATTCATTATTACTCTGTTATTATGGTTAATAGCCATAAAAATTGAATTTGGTGCTGTATTTTTTATTATCGGAGCGTTATATTGGATTTGGGTATGGGGAACAATAAGAAATCCAAAACCTCACATTTCTAATAATCCTGATGAACAAATTGTATCAGCTAGCTTCTTTTTCGATAATTCCCCTATTCCGTCAAACATTATGTCTTGAAAATATTTTTAATAATTATAAGTAACAAGTCTTTCCGAATTGTTTCAGATTCTTTTCTTATCTGTTGAATAGTTTTATGATCCTTATATTTTGATTTTATTTAAAATGAAATTTCTCAATAAACTGAAGTTACTAATGTTTATCTTAAAATACGTTTAATCCACTTTAGAGGGAATAAATCTAAGGTATTTAATAATTAGTTTAATTTTGGAAGCATTTGAGTAGCTGGCTAACTAAAAATTCGATATTCTCGCACGCCAAGCTACTCTTTGCAACTCCAACTTCAATACGTAAGCGAGACTACTTGTATCCCCTTCTTCCTTATCCCGCAAACTAGAGTAAGAGGTCTAGTAGTTGTATAGAACTTTCATTGATGAAAGTCAGCAGAATAATTTTTATGTAATAAAATAGCATGCTCATAAACGGAATGGAGACACAATAAACATAATCAGGTGTCACAGGCTTGTTGATGATTGATCGTTCAACTAACACTTGACTGTTAGGCCTAGTTTTTAAAAATCTTATCAACAATCGACTTTCATAAAATAAATCTTAGGTCCGAACATCGTTTAAATTGTTTTTCATTTTCGTACTGTCAAACAATACATGCGAAAAAGTATGTTTTTCTATCTAGTACAAGAATATAGATGACCAGAGAGTTCTGTTTATGATGAAACTCGGTTGTGTGGTTTTAATAATGTTAAGTAATTACTTGGACCACAATAAATGCTTCGTTTCCCTTTAGTTTTCGACAGTCGAAAAAAATTAGTTGATACGTTCTGGAGTTATATTTTCACTTCAATCATTCACGTGCTATAACTCAGTTTAAGCAATCAAGAATTTAGATTCGTTACTCAGTCTCTTCTCACTTAAGGCTTAATAGGTAGTGACCATGGCATGGTAAAATATCATGTTAATTGTAGGCAATTAACGTCTCATATTGTGGGAGAGTAGTTTTTTACTGGCGAATAAATCATACCTTCCTACTTGTTCTAGGATGAGTAATATTTTAACACGTTTCAAGCCGATGATGTGACACTTATGAGTCTGTTTTTCACCTAAGCTTATGTTTCCGTGTAAATGATCGTAATATCAATTTTCAAAATATTATTGCAGTAACTGTTTACGCATATCTCACTTTCAAAGTAGACCAAGAGGGTTACGTAAATATAATCGATTCGTCTGGTATTAATGTACTGGATAAAGTGCCAGTTTCTGTTGATAATGGGAAGGATCTTATGAATAGACACCTAAAACAGGTTTATGTATTCAGTCAGCCAGTAACAAGGTAGAACTTCTTCCTTACGTACATCAGTTCGAGTTGCCATACCACATTAGCACAGAGATGCAGTTATCGATTCAAATCCTGTAGTGGCAAACCTAGTAAGAGTATAAGCAGTAATCGAAAACATTCGGCTTTGAGGATGTTACTCAAGGAGTACAATCCAGTGAAATAAATTTGGAAAGAGGAAAAATAAGAGACAAGGACAATTCAGAAGATTAGAATTTGGGAGAACACAAAGATTAGATGCACCTGCGCCATTGCAAACGATTTTAAGCCATGTCATTCAAGGTCTCTAACCATCGGTTGCCATCGTCTCGCGGATCCCAACCACGTAGTCTACACTTACCAACATGTCTCAGTCCACTTGTCAGTGACTTTATGGATTTGTACCACATTCTGGTCTGGACGCCCTTAGCTTTCTTCCAACCTACGCCTACACCATAAAACATCGCACGTCGGGACAGTCGGTGGTTGGGCATACGTAACACGTGTCTCAGCCATCTCAACCGATGAAGTTTCACTACTTCATCAATTGATTTGCCATCCTTACATAGTACCCGTTTCCTAGCAACTGTATTACTTACTCGGTGGTCCCAGGATACACGAGCAATATTTCGAAGACACCTATGATCAAATACTAGTAACCTACGAATATCCTTTACTCTCAGCAGCCATGTTTCACTGTCATAAAGTAGGATGGAACGAACTGCTGCTCAGTAAACCTGTCCTTCGATTGGTAGACAGATATCTCGTCTACGCCATAAATGTATTAACTTATCAACTAGGTTTAATAAATTGATAAACGACGATAAATAAGAGCGTGAATGATATGCATCTTCCGTCACAAATTTGTATCTGACCGCATTTTCGTTAATTGTATAGAAGATCATAAATTTATTTTGTAAGGGAAAGCTAGTAATACTCTATGTGCCTCAAAGTTGAAAAAAATATTACTCCCAGTAATCACATCTAGTTGTAGTACTTAAATAACGGTGAGGGATGTAAAGCGCATTTAAAGCTTATGTTAAATTCATTGCATTTTAAATGTAGTAGGAGTAAAAAATATTTTATGCATTAGAAATATTAACCACTGAGTTGTTGGTAACAATATAAAATAAACTATAATGAAGACAACTTGCGGAAAAGAATGTGTGGTGTTTAGACTCTATTCGATTGTACTGGAGGAGGTCAATTACATTAAATAATCAAGCTATACGTAATAATTACTCATATCACTGAGCCTCAGATTTCTTACTCATGTATTAGTAACTGTAGTTTAGATTTTTTTGTTTTATACTACTAGTGAGTAGTTCAAAATATATTACAAACGTAATATCCTTCGAAGCTTCAAATGCATGGCTTATATTTTAAGGCTTCGCCTACACATGAATGTTTTTGCATAATAACGAAGTAAAGATTTGAATCAGGAAGTCTTTGCACATAGTAACACAATGACTACAAGTCGTTTTGCAAATGATGTATTGGTAATTGATTTGAGGAGTTCTTTTCACTGAATGGTCTTTGAACAAACTATTAATGTTGAAAACATTTAAGCAGGAATCTTAATTATATTAAATCTTTGTCTCTTACCACAAAATATACTTGTGATATTATTTTGGTGTATAAAAGAAAACACGTGATTATCATGAATACTACCACCGGGATTGTATTGAAGACTGTCTAACTCCACTAAGTAGATCATCAGACGTTTATAGCCTTTTCGTATTTCCGAGATTGTAATGTATACGAAAGCTTCAGTCTTCACTGTAACATACCCAGTGTTTATTAACGCTGTCCTAAGTCTAACTGTTGTAAACCTTTAGTGACAACAAGCTCTACTCTTATGTGAGATAATAGTCTAAATTTTTATAGTGGTGACCACATTACGACCCACAGTATAACGGGAGTGTGAAAAATCTAGTAACTTAGCTAGATCCCCATAAGATAAGAAATTTAGGGACTCAATGTCCAGTAGAAATTTAGTTTGCACAATTTATTTATATCCGTATGCAAAGAAATGAATGACAAAATCAGCAGTCATATAAAATGACGATTCATAATCCAAGTTCTTGCATTGTCTGAATAATAGATATCTTCCATTATCTGACCTTATATGCGTATCACTGTTACTTACTATGGGTAAAAGTAAACTGGTATGACTTTCTACGACTTAGCTCATTTTTTTATAGTTTGAGTGATTTTGTGAAATTTACCAAATAACTGAAACAGTAAAATGGTCAGAAATACCATTAGTTATCTATGTATTCGTTATTAAAGCCGAAAATGTATTGATCAGAAAATTTCACAAAAAAGAACTCCATTCACTTACATTTGTAAATGTAGCTAAGGTATACAAAACCTAAAAAGTTGAACCATGTTTAGCTTATTATTATTGATATCATACTTCCACACAAATTAAATTGGTCTATATGTATTGACCTGAATAATGACGGTTTATATGAGTCAGCTTTAACAAAAGACAAAAAATATAAATACAGAAAAATCTATTTTACTTATGCAAATGACCTTTGACCTGTTTATAATTAGAGCGCAATTGTCAGAAAACCATTGATATTAGTCTAGATCTCTACATGAAGGATAAGAATTACAATTACAATGAAAATCAATGTAATATTTTATTGATCTGACTTTGCTATGTTATGAAATTATCAGAAAATAGGAAATCAATAGACTGTAATTTAAATAATTCAGCTTTTGTATGATCCAGCTAAACCAAATGAACAAAAAAAGTAGATTATTCAACATTGAGCATCCACAAACTCGCACACGGCCTTGCGCATGAACACCCAGACTCTAGACCATTAAGTTGGCATCTGATGTTGTTAATAACTAACTTCAATCCACAAATGACATTGCGCGACCATTCTCCGTTGTCTTCGATGGGTTACTGCCTCAGACTCCACACAGTTTAGTTTCAAAGGGGTAAATTCCCGCGTGCAAGGTCTTGGATGAGCTCTGCTAAGGAGTTCATTACTAGGATGAAACTTCCAGCCAATCGTCTCAGGCTTTCAAATGAGATCTAACTCAAATCGGTTCATGATTTTAATAAATACACCAATCTCCACAACCCTTTTCTGATAAAAAAGATAATGGAATCACGTAATCAATTGGAGGTTCATGTATTGTACTTTTAACCCACATTTTAAACATTCATATATTAAAGACCTGGAAACTATATCAGAACAAGCTGCCAGTGGATATATGAAAAAAACTGTGTGGTAGAACCAAAACACCTGACGAGAAATTTAGTAGAGCGGAGCAATCAGTCGGAAGAAGAGGAATATACTCACTAACGATCGACAGCAGAGGAACAAGCCGGTAAAGCATGATAAAAGACTTTGACATAGCTGAGAACCAAAAGTATTTGCCAAACACGGTTGAATAACACTATTTACAAAACAAAAAGACAAATTAGAGATTCGTCGAGAAGTTTACTAGTCGGAAGGTACAATCTGATTAAGGATGAAATTATTTTGGTTATTAATGTTTTAAAATGACAGTAAAATAGTCACTGCTCCATTTTCTAATCTAGATCTAATAATGTAAACTGCCTCAATAATTCAAATATGCTTCAAGTAAATGAACAGGGTAGTCCCTAGAACTCGACTCAGGGATATTTGTTGGGCCGATACGAGCCAACTTAACAAAGTGATCTGTCAATCCACAGAGCTGAGATATTAACTAACCACATCTCCGTTTTTCCAATCCAGTATCAGTTCAGGTAAATAATTAGCGGTATAGAAGCTACTGGATTATTATCCGTGAATCATGTCTTAACCAAGATCGTGAGAAATCCTCTGAAGACAATGCTTATCAAATATGATAGGTAACTGGATAATCTCAGATCAGAGGAGTAAGATTTTACAACAGCAGAGTGGAACAACTTACACAGACGCACTATGTACCTGAACTTTTACAGCCAAATTAACACATTCAGATGAAACTCATCTTGAATCATGTCACAGTTGCACAATGGATCATAATTGAATGAGATGGATCATGGAGATTTAATTTTAGATACTTCGGTAACGTGAAGTCTGAAAAACCTAAAGATTACTAGTTCGGCCTCGTATAAAATCGGAGACACTGTAAAAAATCAGTGTGGTGATACTTCAGGTTCCAAAACAGTAAACTT